TAATAACAAGCTATTTTTAAATGCACCAATATCAGGAGGTATATTAAAATTAAATTTCACCACATGAGGCTGATTGGCAGGCCATGTAATGGGGGTAAGTTCCCAGTCTTGTCTTTATCTGAACAGTTTGCAAAGTAGGCCCCAAAGCCACGGGCTTACGCTCATGGTCTGGAGCTCTAATTATCCAAGTTAAAAAAAAACAAAAACTAATTGGAAATGTGATAAGTAACGATTAGGCAGCCTATTTCCGGAGGGAAATGAACAAAATTGCAGATGTCAACTTTAGTGACTTTTGTGAAAACGGATGGACAAGTTTGCTTAAATGAAAACTTCCTGCCACTCAGGAAGGCTTTTCCCTCAGGACTAGACTACTAATGGACATACTGCCATGTGCATAGAGATCCTAAAAGCCACCACTGTACACTAGAACTGCCAGGCAGAGCGTGCCTGCATTCCAAAGCTGATGAGGGGTGCGAGGGCCAGGACCCTGCTGAGGGCACTTGGAGACTTACCGCCACCGGGAACGCTCCCGACTTTGCAGTAGCCAGAACTGAAACAACCCGGGCAAAACGGAGCCCACAAGGAGGGTCAGAAGACCTTGGCTCCCGTTTTGGCTGGAGTGCTTGGGCCGGAGCCCAGAGTCCATTCCTTTGAGGAACACTCTTTACTCCCTGACGGCCACCCCAACCCCTCCAGTGTGCACTGCATCTTCCTCATCTGGGTTTGACCCTCAGGAATCAGACCCTCGAGCACCCTGGGCTCCACCTGCCTTCAGCGCGCGCTTCACCTTGTGTTCAGGGTCCATGTGTGAGCTCCGGAATTTGACTGAGCCTTAGAACCGCTCACCACAGGCCCTTACTGATACCTCGCTCCCTGCATTCGCTTCCTAAGCTCTGATGTGGAGGTGAGACTACCTCATAGGTTGGTGGTGATGATGAAAACAGATACAGATGGTAAAACACAGCACATGGTGTTTAGTGCTTCCCAGCAGCTTGTATGGATCTGCTTCCTTGCAGGGAGCATGCTGACCTCATCATTTCTCATCCCAGCCCCTGCAGCTGCCAAAAATAAGGACAATTATCTACTTAATGCATTAAAAAAAAGTTAGTTCAAGTTTTTAAAGTCAGCTATATTTCAAGCCATAATATTTGCAAAAGTCCAGGTTGAATGTATTAATTTTTTTTCTAGCACATGCTAAAAAATAGACACACTAAAAATATGTTTTTAAAGGCTGGCACAGTCTGAAACCTCCTGAAGGAGCGTGCACATTCGTCCCACAGTCCTGCTCTCACCACGAACTTAGGCAGCACTGCTCACATGAGAGGAAGCATGTCAGGCAGCACAGATGAGGACACGCACACCTTCCCTGTTCTGGTTGTGCATACAGTGTCTGGGGGGCGGGGTGTGAGAACAATGGTGCCGTGCGGACGGGGCAGGCCGTCTTGTGGTGATGTGGCCCTGTCATGCCGCTGGGCAGGCCGGCCCTCAGGAGACAGTACAAAGTAGAGAGAAGAACCAAGCGTTGCTCCGAACAATTATTCCAGATCCGAGGTCCAGGACAACTTGGCTCCGCAAGCAGACCTACCTCTCTGAGACCCCAAGTTTCTTACCGGAGTCTTCCGAGCATGATTTCTCATCTGTGAAATGGGCACAGTACCTGCCTCAGGGAGCAAGTCCAGGCCAGTGCCCAGTGAATGGGCATCTTCCCCAGATGACCGGTGTGCACCCAGGACAGAAGCTGCCCTGTGCTCCAGGCTTGCGGCTCATGCATTTGTCCTCTGTGCTGCTGGCGCTCCCTAAGGTAGATCTCAGTCTTGGCCTCTCTGGGAAGCAGCCCTGGCGCCCTAAAGCAGCCTAACATTGGCCAATATGCACTGAGGGCTTTCCAGTTTCAATACCAACTCCAGAAGCCTTTCCAGCACTTCTCACCAGTGTTCTCTGGCATCAGACGGAGCCTGTAAAAATCCCGCCATACACATGATTAAAGTGAGGCACGGGAAGGTGTAAGTAATTTACTCAGGTCGCGTAGGTGGTAAATGGAGGAGCAGGTAACCACTAAAATTTGTAGTCTCTAAGACTGCCAAGCTACTAGTTGAGATAGCATTAGAACTAATGCCCACAGGAGGACAGGACCATGTCCAGCTAAGGGACCCTCAGCTGGGAGCCACGATTTTGTCCCCAGGGGATATCTGGCAACGTTTGGTGATGCTCTTGGTTGTCACAGCTGTGGGGGTGGGTGCACTGTGGGTGCGAATGCATATTGGTGCAACCACTATGTAAAACAATATGGAGGGTCCTCAGAAATTTCAAAATAGAGCTACCAAACAATCCAGCAATTCCACCTCTGGGTATTTATCCAAACAAAATGAAAACATTACCTTGAAAACATATCTGTGCCCCAAGTTCACTGCAGCATTAAGCCAATATATAAAATTAAGTATCCACTGATTGATGAGTGGATTTTAAAATGTGGCACATATATACAACAGAATATTTTTCAGTCATGAAAATTTAAATCTTGCCATTTGTGACATGGAAGTTGAGGGCATCATGCTTAGTGAAATAAGTCAGACAGAAAAACGCAAATACCATTAAGATCTCACTGATATGTGCAATTTGGGGGGAAAAAAAATTGAGATACAGAGAACACACTGGTGGTTGCCAGAGAGGCAGAGGGTGGGAGTGGATGAAATGGGTGAAAAGGGTCAAAATGTATAAATTTCCAGCTTATAAAATAAGTCCTGGGGATCTAATGTATAGCATGGCGATGATAGATAATAATACCATTTTGCATGTTTGAAAGTTGCTAAGAGTAGGTTTTAAAATTTTTTACCATAAGAAAAAAATTCTGTTAACTGTGATGATGGATATTACCTAAACTTATCATGGTGGCCCTTTCACAATACATTCAAATATTGCATCATTATGTTGTACGCCTGAAACTAGTATAGTGTTGTGTATCAATTATACCTCAGTGAAAAAGCTCCAAGTGAGATGCGGTGGCTGGGTAGACAGGAAGTGACAGGAAGCAGGACACCTGGAGGAGGAAAAAGACAGTGGCAGCCCGTTACTGTGAGGAGGAAGGGAGGGCAGAAGCAAGCATGTGTGGAGCCAAGGCTGTGCCACACCCCGTTAGAAGCCAAGCTCTGAGAGAAGCCGAGCTGCGGGAGAAGCCGCACCCCAGGAGAAGCCGCGCCAAAGCCGCGCCCCAGCAGAAGCCCGCGGGAGACAATGGACATGGTACTGTTCAGAGATGCGGAGCAACACCGTGCCGGCCCAGAGATGAGGAGCAAGCCAGCACCAGCACCTGCCACAGGTCACAGTACGAAGTGACTGATTTTTAGAAACAGGGACCTGCCACAGTCAGGTGAAGATGACAGGGAATGTGGAAAAGCTGGAGAGGACCTGTCTTGTGGATTTTTCTGCAGACTACAAAATGACCAAATGAGGCTTGCAGGCTCCTATGAACAGGAACAGGAGGCAGGAAGCTGACCTGAGTATTTTTGCTTTATTCAATCGAATAAACATTTTATTTATATAAAAGACAATGCATAGAATGAACATAAGTGCTTGACACATTTGATATAAAAAGAGTATACAGCATTCACATTCCTATTTTAATACATGAGTATTGCTGAAATGTTCCATAAAAGAATAAAACTTTCCCTTTACGTAGTGAAAAAAGTCAGTATTTTTAGGAACTACAGAATGTTATTCCTTGGTCTTTTTCTTGAATGAGGAAAAACAAACATAAAACAAGCCACAGTATCATCTACATTCCAGTTTATGCTGATGATGACCCAGAAGTGATAAAGCTCTTTTGAATCTTGGAAGTTCCCATAATGGACCAGTATTCTAGAAATTCACCACTAGAGGTCGATGAGCAACAGCTCTTGGGGCAGCATCACCAGCCCTAAAGTGCACGGGGCTTCTGGGCACTCCCATGGCATTGTGGCCAAGCTGCTTTCTCTCGGTCCACCTGAACCGTGAAGGGCTCCTAGAAATTCCACCTAATCCCAACTTCAGCGTGTCTGCTGAAACCCCAATGAGATGCGGCTTCCAAAACCCAAGCAGAGCTGATCTGATCATTGCCAGTCCCTCTCCAATATTCCTACCTATTTGGCCACTAGTCTCACTCAGGGATCCAAAGTTTTTTTGCAAAATCTCCCGATATTTAAAAAGTGGCTCAATTTTGTTAAACACTGTGCTGGCCAAGCAAAACAGACGTTCCGAGTGCCTGGAGAGACAGTCCTGACCACGGCGGCGCCATGCTGCGGCAGTACTGGCCACGTGGGCAGAACGTGCTCAAGTCCCCTGGAGCCTGGAGCATGAGACCGACCAGTGATGCACAGCAAGCGGGAGACAGAAAGCAAGCGTGATGAGAAACAGCATAAAGAACCTGGGAGGGAGATCCGTCCCCTTTTAGGAAATGGGGAGCAGTAACACAGATATGGGGTTTTTTTAGAAAGAACAAGTTCTCGTTAGTAAAAGGTGTGGCAATTTCATGGGTAGGGAAAGCGTCCTGATTTTTCTGTAGCTTGTAGAGGTAAAGATGGGACTTAAAACACTGACGCGATGAGACTTTCTGAGCTAGCTGAGGAAGAGGGTCACAAACCAGATGTGGGTGTGAAGCTCAGTGCCGAGACCAGGAGAGATGACAGGACGTGCGGACCTCGGGGTCTGGTCCCCAGACAGTGTGGCTCCGACTGGCTCCACAGCCAGAACAGGACCCAGTGCAGGGAGTTACTAGGTTGCGAAAGCAAGTGCAATATGGCACAGCAGGCTCCAAGACCCGAGCCTCTCTCTGAAGGTGGAGGCCCCCCACCCCGTGTGCCCCGAGCCCAGCACACGCGTGCCGCCAAGTGCTGAGGCTACCCCAGGGCGCTTCCCTCTGCTCTCGTGAGCTCGCCCATCCAGCCCACTTCTGGGCACGTGTGATCTCTATCCTCACCTCTTTCCAAGAGTATGGCTGTGTATATATAGACATATATAGATATATATAAACATAGCTATTTCATATTTATATACAGGCATTAATAAAGTGCAAATGTTATTGGCTATTGTAAGATCAATCTCATTTCCTGAGGAAGTGCTAACACAGCTTATCCTATGACAACGTCAAAGGCAGAGGTTGCTTCCTGCCACCCCCTCCCGTCTCGGGAGGGAGCACCCCGGGTTCCAGGAAGCGTCGTCAGGGGCAGCTTCCTGCTGCCCCTGCTCTTTGGCCACAGGGCGGCCGCGCTGGGCCGGCCGCGGGAAGAGCTATTTGGTAGTGTTGAGGGAGCCGTCTTCAGGGATCTTCTCCTCTGAGCTGCTTCTCCCCGAGAGCCTGTCCAGGTGCTCCAGCTCGCTGAAGCGCTCCGCCACGCACTGCGCCGTGAGCCGGGCCTCGGGGTCGTGGTCCCAGCACTCGGCCAGCGTCTCGCACACCGTCTGGATGCCCTGCGGGGGAGAGGGTCCACAGGCCCCTGAGAGGGGGTGGCAGCTCGGGGGAGAGGGAGCCCCCGCCCTGTCCCCCCTGCTGGCCAGCGCCCCGGCGCCGTCTGACCGAGGCATTCCGGGGGCTCCCGCTCACAGGAAGCGGGGAAGCGGAGGCGCAGCACAAGGTCTCCCAGCAGGCTTCCGGGGGACAGCAGCCTGCCCATTTGTGAAAGTTCCCAAGAAGTGGGCTTCTGCTGCCATCTCCCACCTCTCTATTCTGGGGAGTGGGGGCGCAGTAACAGGCTTTACCTCACTGAGGGAAGTTGTAGGTTCATGGCAAAATCGAATGGAAATTACAGAATTTCCATACACATACCCCCTCCCACCACGCAGACCGCCTCCCCCACCATCAACACCCTACATCTGTGTGAGACATTTGTTAAGACCAGTAAACCAACACTAACACGTCAGTACTGACCACAGTCAACCAGAGCGAGGTTCATGGTGAGGCGCAGGATCCCGGTTCTGACAAATGTCCATCATTACAGCCCCCACAAGGTCACTGCCCTGAACATCCTCTGTGTGAACCTCTTCAGCCCACCTTCCTTCCCCCAGCCCCCAGTAACCACTGGTCTTTTAACTGTCTCAGTGGTATTGTCTTTCCAGAGAGTCAGGGCTGGAATCCTATGTGTATGTTAGTCACTCAGTCCAACTCTTTGCGACCCCATGGACTGTAGCCCGCCAGGCTCCTCTGCCCTGGGGGATTCTCCACGCAAGAATACTGGAGTGGGTTGCCATTCCCTTCTCCAGGGGATCTTGACCCAGGGATCAAACCTGGGGCTCCTGCACTGTAGGCAGATTCTTTACCATCTGAGCCACCAGCATCCTTGTTTAAATAGGGCTGACTCTCCCAGCTGGAGTGACGTGTGGGCATTATTCTGGTTGCATTTGTCAAGTCCACACGCTTTATGAGGACCCAAGCCCATCTTCCAGCAGTTTCAAGGACACCCTCTGCTAGGCCCTTCCTCTCCAGCTTCAGCTTGGACCCTGGAAAACAGCTGTCTTCATATGTCCTGCAGGCTGTATCAGGGGGCTTGACCTAACCCCCTAAAGGCCCCACTCAAAAAGGCCCATCCAGAAAATGCTGTCCACAACAGACAAGGGTCTTCTCTCACGGCTTTAATTCTCATTTTGCATTGCAAATATTTTTGTTAGTTCAAGTTGTTTTTGGAAATAAAGCAGACACGGACTAAATACATAGCCCAATGGGTGGAAACAGGCTGCGCCTCTCGGAGGCCCAACCCTGTCACTGGTGAGCCTGCACACGGGTGGCCCCGGGGGATGGATCCATCCCAGCCCTTCCCTGAGTGGCACTTCCCTGTCTGTAGTCTGAGCAATTGCACCCAGAGCCAGGACCTGCCCTCCCTTCCTGCCCCGTGAGTGAGCCCATGATGTTGGATTAATTGTATAATTCCCCTAATTGATGGTATTGACTGATGGCCCTGTTAAGAGTGGAGTGTTATTGTTGGTACACAAGTAACATTTATTTTATTCTGGCACTGTAATTACAGGCAGTAAATTAAATTAAATATTAAGCATTAACTTGAAATCAATAGGGCAACAAATCTCATTAAGAGGAAAAAAATGTATTATGCAAATGCTTTCCAGAATTTCATCATCATGAACAGTGGCTTCATTATAAGCACTGCACAGCAGACGCAGCAGAGCTGAAGGAAGCAATGTCGCACCTTCTGATTTGGAGTTAACGCGAAACAGCTCTGCTTTTCCAAAGTCAAAGAGGCTCTGCTGAAACCCGGGGAGAAACCCTGGGCCCCCGCGGCTGGGTCCGCAGCCTGCTGCAGGCTCCCCCCGATGTTATCAGGGCCTGCCCGCTGAAGCGGCTCTCAGCCCGGCGGGCACACACCAGGCTTCCTGCTCCATCCGTCTCCTTGGCCACCCCTGACTGTGGTTTCTGCTTCTCATCTGCCTTAGGAAACCTAGAACTTAGCCCAGCCCTCCCTGGGTGAGGGAACTCATCCAAAGGCAGCCATAAAAGGTTTACGTCAGTGGAAAGGACAGGGTGCTGGGGAGCCAGGAGCACGGGGTGTGGTCCAGGGCTCCTCCCTGCCGTGCCAGACGTCCCTGCTCCCGCAGCCCACGCTCCCCCCCGACCCCCCGACCACTGCCCCATCAAAATGCCCCCGAAGCCAAGACTCTGCTGCGGACGGACGGCCACATCCACTGCCTGTCAGGAGGCTCTGCAAAGACAGATTCCTGTTTGTTCCCCTGCCCTCTGCTCGTCTTTGCCTTTCTTCGTCCTGGCCTCCTCCTCCCCAACAGGCCTGCTGCCGCAGCCTGAGGACACAGCAGCCCCTTGCAGGCCAGCTGGCGGGCAACACCCCTCCTTTCTCCCTAAGTAGTTCCTGCCAATGTTGACGGTTCCCAGAAGAAAACATTTGGAACCCGGAAAAGAACAAAACACAACCTCCCTATGGAGAGGAGGCGTGGCAGAGGCTGTAAACAGAGCATTTTCGTTCAGAACCAAGGGGTCTTGGAAAATATGACAGGTGCCCGTCACATGAGTCTGTGTGAGCCTTCTCACTCGTGGTGGGACAGACAGTAACAAGGTCATCCCATTCTACTGAAACTCCTTTATGAAAGAACCAGGCAGGATCCCGGAACACATCAGACTGATGCCCAACGTCCGGGACTTCTCTGCTGCCTGAGATGTCCCTCTCCCTCTGGGTGAATACAACAGTCACTCCTTACCTGGTGGTTGAGCCAGGAGCTGGGAATCTCTGGTCGGCCTCGATCTCTCAGCACATTGTCCTTCATGCTTTCCACACAGGGATGTTCCCGCACCTTAGACCCGAATGGAGGCTCATAGTCCTTCACTTCTGTTGGAGAGAGCAGGTGGACACAGGCCTTGAGAAGGGCATGCGCAGTTGGGATTCTGACTGTCAGGATTCGCCTGTGATTACGCTGGGGTGGTTTTTAATTCTAATGGATTAAAAGTATAAGGAGGGGTCACAGAAGGACCTTGAACTAGTCAACACGTGACTGTTCAGTGACCATGACGTGCTAATGGCTGGAGACAGATTGGAGAACAAGATCAACAAGGTCAGGGGATACAGGCTTTTAGGATCGTGGTTCCTGGGAGGGAGAAACATCTTCCATATTACAAAGGTTTGTGGCCCTACAGAGGTTCACAGCACATAAATAGATTTAATATGTGGTATTAAGTTTCTTGCAGAGATTCAGCCATATAAAAAAGGAATGAAACTGATAGATGCTGCAACACAGATTATGCCAAATGAAATAAGCCAGACATTAAATGACAAATATTGTATGATTCTCCTTATGTAAAATACCTAGAATAGGCTACTTCACAGAGACAGAGAGGAGAATATGGGTTGATGGAGGATGGAGAGACTGTTCACTAGTACAGGGTCTCAGTTGAGGAAGATGGAAAAGTTCTGGAAATAGATAATAATGATGATTACACAACATTGTGAATGTACTTCATGCTACCCAACCACACCACTTACTTTTTTTTAAATCGTAAACACTTAAAAATGGCTAAACTGGTGAATTTTATATCATGTATATTTTCCCACAGGAATAAAAAGTCGTGGGGAGTAGTGATTAAGGAAAAAAAAAAGTCTACAAAGGTTCCTTTCAATAGTAATAATGAAAAAGAGGTTCAGAAATGCTGTTTTAGTTAGCTGACAGAGGAGAGAGGTTAATAAATAACAAACACAATTTAAAAATGTAATTTTCCTTCAGTGATATTTGCTAAAAAGAAAATAATGAAGGATGATGTAAACCCTTCATCAGAGTTTCAGGTTTCAACTAAGTCCATTTCTTTTCATTTTTTAAGGGAAATTCATGTCACTTATTTTCTCCTAATTTTTTCCTATTGAAGTATACTTGCTCAGTCATGTCCATCTCTTTGTGACCCCCTGGACTGGGGCCTGCCAGGCTTCTCTGTCCATGGGATTTTCCAGGCAAGAATACTGGAGTGGTTTGCCATTTCCTACTCCACAGTATTTGAAACCCTGGGATCAAACCTGCATCTTTTAGATCTCCTGAACTGGCAGGCGGATTCTTTACCACTAGCACCACCTGCGAAGCCCCTTACCGTATTATATCAGTTTCAGGTATACAACATAGTAACTCAGTATTTTTAAAGATTGTGCTCTGTATAAAGTTGTAAAACACGAGCTATATTTTCTATGCTATACATTATATCCTTGTAACTTACCTATTTCATAGCTAGTAGTTTGTATCTCTTAATCACCCTCACCCATTTTCCTCTCCCCTTACCCGTCACCGTGCTGGCAATGAATGACAGTTTATCTGTCTCTATTTCATTTTGTAAATTCCATATTTAAGTGAAATCAAGCAGTATTTGTCTTTCTCTGTCTGCCTTATTTCACTAAGCTTAATATCCTCCAGCTCCATCCATGTCATTGCAAATGGCAAAATTTCATTCTCTTTTATGGCTAATATTTCATTATGTTGTGTACACACATATATACTTCATTTTTGCCTGTAGTATGAAAAAATGTTCTCATTTCATTCTTTGATGTGTAACTGTCCAGCTTTCCCAGCACCGCTTATTGACAAGAATGTCTTTTCTCCATTGTATATTCTTGCCTCCTATGTTGTAGGTTACTTGACCACAAGTGTGTGGGTTTATTTCTGGGCCCTCTATTCTGTTCCATTGACCTACATGTCTATTTTTGTGTCTGTACCACACCATTTTGATTACTGCTGCTTTGTAGTACAGTCTGAAGTCAGGGAGCATGATTCTTCCAGTTTTGTCCTTTTTCTCTCAAGATTACTTTGGCTATTTGGGGTCTTTGGTGGTTCCATACACACTTTAGGATTATCTTGCTCTAGTTCTGTGAAAAATGTCATGGGTATTTTGATAGGGATTACATTAAATCTGCACACTGCTTTGAATATTATTAACATTTTAACAATATTAATCTTTTATTCCATGAACATGGGATATCTTTCCATTTACCCTTCTTCAATGTCTTACAGTATTTAGAGAACAGATAGTCTTCTACCCATGGTTAAATTTATCCCTAGGTATTTTATTCTTATTTGATTGCAAATCAGATTTTTTTCTTAATTTCTCTAATAGTTCATCATTAGTGTTTAGAAATGCAACAGATTTCTATATATTAATCCTGTATCCTGCAACTTAACTGAATTCATTCATAAGTTTCCATTAGATTTTTGGTGGTATCTGTAGGGTTTTTTACATATAATATCATGTCATCTGCAAATGGTGACAGTTTCTTCTCTACTTACTTGGATGCCTCTTTTTTTCTTGTTTAACTGCTGTACCTAAAACTTCCAATAATATGTTAAAGAGGTGGCAACCATAGGCATACTTGTCATGTTCTTAATTTTAGATAAAAACCTTTCAGCTTTTCACAACTGAGCATAATGTTAGCTGTAGATTTATTGTAAATGGTCTTTATTATGTTGAATTACGTTCCCTCTGTATCATCTTTGTTGAGAGTTTTTATCACAAGTGAATGAATCTTAGGTCCTATCCAAAGTGGCCCAGGCATGAACTCTAGGTGAAGATTAGAAAGGCTGTTAATTTAAGTGGGTGGGACAATACCCACGTCAGTGAGTCACAGGACAATTGAGAAAATAAAAACAGTACAGTACTGAAACATGTCTGGGCCCAAAGGGAACAGTGGGCATGATTCAGTATCTTCCTCCAAAGTAAATACCACCTTTGGCCTTTACTTCAAAATAACCCTGTTTAATGAGTGAAACTTTCAATAAATTACGCTTACAGGCTTAGAATTGAAGAAGCATTTAAGGCAAAATGACATTTTGAAAAGACATGGCTTGTTCTTGTTTATTTGACTTTCCCCCATTCCCAGAACCCTACTTGCATATTTATCTTCTTCAGCCTCAACCAACTAGAAGTGCTGGCAGGATATTGTTTTTTTCTTAGCTGGGATGAAGGCTTCTCTTACTCTCCTCATACCCCCATCACTTTGAGACAAGCATCCTATTGTGTGTCTGCTTCTGCTTTCAAGAGCCCTCAGCCCCTAAATCTATACTGCTCTGGAGGTGAGATCTGAACTTTGATTTGGATAATACTTAGTTGTCTTATTCCTTTCTTCCATTCTCTTACCTTTTTACCAGACTGTAAATTCCTAAGGACTAAGACACAGACTGAGTTTTGTATTTTAATTCCCTCCTGAAATTATGTCTTATACATAGGTGGCTTTCAATAAATATGAGCTGGCTTGGATTCAAGCAAGAACTGAGAATCAGAGTTTGTCCTCAGTAAGGGTTTCCTCTGACCCAAGTCTTCATTTCTCTAAACTGAATGGGCTTCTGAACTGGATGACCTCCAAGTCCCTGCTCCAGAGCTGTCCTGTAACCCAATCCAGTCAACTACTGATGCTCTCTTAGTGCCACGCCTTGAGGTATGTATAATATAATGCAATGTGATAGGAGCTGCATATGATATAAACCGCTCCTTAGACAATGTATTAGTCCACTGACTCTCCCTTTCCAGCCGTTTTGGCTGCCATAGCAGGTGTGGCTGGCAGCCTGCCTAAACCCCCCTTACTGAGCCATAGGCACTAGCGCCCCAGCTGCTGCAGGCATTGGGTCGTAAGGGCACACGCTGTCTCCTTCTATGGAGAACTGCCCTTGGCAAATAGGAGCTTCCTGGCCTGGAGATTCCTAGAATATGACAGCCTCAGCCCTAGGGGCAGTCTGAGGCCAATGACAACATGGGAGCCTGAACAGTCTAAGTGTCTTGCCTCTGGAGGATATGACTATGGTGCAGCTCATGTCTAGATCAGGCTCAGTCCTGGGATCAGGCTGGTGGCAGTGCAGGTGGGGAAAAACGAGGCTGTGGCATTTTCCTCTTTGTGTCCTTGATTAAATAATGTGAAGAACAGCAGAGAAAGCAAGTCAAAGGTTAGGTCAGAGAGTGCCATCTTTTAAAAATCTGGGGACTTCCCTGGCATTCCAGTGATTAGGACTCTGTGCTTCCACTGCAGGGGCCACAAGTTTGATCCCTGGTGGGGGAACTAAGATTCCACATGCTGTGTGCACTGTGGCAAAAACAAAAAAAGGAAATACTTCTATGAAAAGAGAAGCAAGGAGCTTAGAGAGCAAGTTTAGCACTTAAAACAAAAGTGCTGACAACATGCATCATAAGTAGGGATATTGTTGGTTGTGCCTGCCTGGATCCCATCACAAACCAGAGATGAGGACTTGGGAAAGAGAGGGCAACACTTCGTGCCCCAGTGTCCATATCCACAGCACAAGAGAGAACGTGCGTACCGCCACCGTCACTCAGCACAGAGCTCCCTCGGGACCCGCAGGGGCTGGTCCCAGGACCAGAGGCAGGTCCCAACACCTGCGGACGCCAGTCTCCTGCTTGATCCTCTGTGTACGTGAGCTTTGCATCCACGAGTCAAGCAGCCATGGATCATAAACTCAATGCAAGATCCGTGAGTGGTTAGAGCTAGGAATTCAGAACCACAAATGCCAGTGGAAGGTACACAAACTGTCAACTGACAGCAGATGGAAGATAAACCCCGAGTCAGGGGTGTGATGCGGAGCTGGGTGTGGGCTCTGTGCCAGGGTCCCCGGCCCCCAGCAGGATCACGCTTCAGATGTCCCCCAGATGACCGCCTGGGGGCACGGAGCTCACCAGCTCCCTCCGCGTCCTGTCTCACCTCCTGCTCCTCTCCTAGGCCTTTGCTGCCTTCTTTTCCCTACAGACCGCTGAACTTGGATTCCTCTTCAAGGGTTCGGTCCGTCCCCAGGCTGACACCCCACTCCCCACAACAGGATCACCTGCTGAGACCAGCCCCCCACGCCCCAGGGCTAGGTGCACCAGGGACACCCTGGGATCTCCTTGAAGGCTTCAAACAACTGCTGCTCTAGGAAGCTTCTAGATCTCGCTGCTCTTCTTTCCACCCCCATCCCAGGCTCCCCTGAGGGCCAGGGCCTCACCCCCACCCCTTGGCATTTCTTTGTCTGGCTGGAGGCTGTCAGAAGAAAAGTCCGCATCTCAAGCTCTGGCGCTCAGAGGGGCCTGGGCAATAGGGATGCTCCTCTTAAAGTCAGCATATGGTCCACAGCTGCTGTTTTGATCGTGGTTCCAACTTCACAGAGCTGCAAAATTGTTGGCAGTTTTCCCCAGAGCGGAACCCTTTTATATCTGTCTTCCTTCCAAATTATCCTGCCTCAAAACGCAGGAAGACGAAGTTGCTATCCCAGGCCCTCTTCACTCCTCTCCCACCCTGTTCCCTGCCCCCACCCCACTCCTTTCCTTTCGATTCATTTTTTCTGCCTCACAGGCTGCAGCAAGCTGAGTTTGTTTCTCGTAGTCTTGTGAAAATACTTGCTCAGCTGGCTGCTGTGTGTCAGCTGCTATTCAAAGGCTGACATGGCCAGGGATTTGAAAGTCAGGCGGCCTGGGGGCCAGTTTGGCTGGGTGACATGAACACTGTGTCTGCCGTGCTCCCAGAGTGGGGGCCCTGAAAGGACCCGCCTTCCTCTGCCTCCCACACATTACACACAAACTCTTGCATGGACACCAGACAAACCAAAAGCCAGGACAGAGATTTCTTTGTAAAAGAGAGCCAGTCTCTGGCTTTGTCCTGGAGAGATGGTGAGTTCATGACTTACTCCTTTATAAAACAATAACACACCAGCCAGCTCCTTCCATCTTGTTCCCTCCTCAAACAACTCTGAAAAACCTGTTTTCTTGGTTTTTCTGCTGCATACTTCCAGATGGCCTAAGTCTCTGAAATAACAGTCTCTGTTACTAGCTATTGACCAACTCTGCTTTTTCTTTCTGCAGCCATCATCCCCAGCCCTGATACTGACACATTACTTGTCTTTCTAGCATATTTTGTTGTTGTTCAGTTACTAAGTCATGTCCGAGTCTTTGGCAACCTCATGGACTGCCGCATGCTGTATCAGCTCTTCATTAGACACTCTGTCCCTGAGGACAAAGATTTGTCTCACTGCTGCACTCTCAGCATTTTAAAAGTTTTATATCGGTCTATAGTTGATTAAAAATGCCGCACTACCATCAGGCATACAGCAAAGTGATTCCTTTATACATATATATGTATCTGTTCTTTCCCAATTTCTTTTCACATTTAGGTTATCACAGAATACTGAATAGAGTTCCCTGTACTATGCAGTAGGTCCTTCTTGGTTATCTATCTGACATATAGCAGTGTGTATATTTCAATCCCAAACTCTCTATTTATCCCTCTCTATCACCTTTCCCTTTAATAACCATAAGTTTTTCTGTGAGTCTGTTTCTGTTTTGTAATTCATTTGTATCTTTTAAGGTTCCATATATAAGCAATATATCGTTTGTCTTTTTCTGTCTGAACTTATTTTACTTGGTATGATCACCTCCAGGTCCATCCATGTGGGTGCAAATGGCATTGTGTCATTCTTTTTCATGGCTGAGTATTATCCCATTGTATATATGAACTACATATTCTTTATCCACTCACCTAGCAATGGATATTCAGGTTGCCTCCATGTCTTGACTAATTTTAAATAGTGCTGCAATGGGCACTGGGGTGTCATCTATCCTTTTGAACCATGGTTTTCTCCAGATACATGCCCAGGACTGGGATTGCTGGATCACATGGTAGCTTGAGTTTTGTAAGGAACCACCACACTGTTCTCCCAGTAACAGTTTAGGAGGATTTGCTTTTCTCCTCCTCTCTAGCATTTATTGTTTGCTCTGACTGGGGTGAGGTGTTATCTCTTTGTAGTTTTGATTTGCATTTCTCTAGTGATCACTCCAATACTTTGGCCACGTGATGTGAAGAGCCAACTCATTTGAAAAGACCCTGATGCTGGGAAAGATTGAGGGCAGGAGGAGAAGGGAACAGAGGATGAGATGGTTGGATGGACGGCATCACTGACTCAATGAACATGAGATTGGGTAAACTCCGGGAGTTGGTTATGGACAGGGAGGCCTGGTGTGCTGCAGTTCATGGGGTCGCAAAGAGTCAGACACAACTGAGCAACTGAACTGAAATGAACTGAGTGATTAGCAGTGTTGACCATCTTTTCATGTGCCCTTTGGCCATCTGTATGGCTTCTTTAGAGAAATGTGTATTTAGATCTTTGGCCCAGTTTTTGATTGGTCTGTTTGTTTGATTTTGAGCTGCATGAACTGTTTGTGAATTTTGGAGATTAATCCCTTGTCAGTCTCGTGGTTTGCAAATATTTTCTCCCATTCTGTGAGTTACCTTTTCATTTTGCTCATGGTTTCCTTTACTGTGCAATAGCTTTTGAGTTTAATAAGGTTCCATTTACTTTTGTTTTTATTTCCATTACTTTCGGAGATGGATCTAAAAAGACACTGCTGTGATTTATGTCAAAGAGTGTCCTGCCTATGTTATCTTCTAAGAGTTTTGTATTATCCTGTCCTGCCTTTAGGTCTTTAATCCATTTTGAGGTTATTTTTGTGTATGGTGTTAGAGAATGTTCTAATTTCATTATTTTACATGTAGCTATTTTTTCCCAGCACCATTTATTGAAGATACTGTGTTTTCTCCATTGTATGTGTTTGCCTCCTTTGCAGATTGATTGACCATAGGTGCATGGGTTTATTTCTGCCCTTTCTCTCCTGTTCTATTGATCTGTATTCCTGTTTTTGTGCCAATACCATACTTTTCTGATTACTGTAGCTTTGTTGTACAGTCTGAGGTTAGGGAGCCTGATTTTTCCAGCTCTGTTTTTCTTCCTCAGGATTGCTTTGGCTATTCTGGGTCTTTTGTGTCTCCATGCAAATGTAAAACATTTTTCTTCCAGTTGAATGAAACATGCCACTGGTAATTTGACAGAGACTGTACTGAATCTGTAGATTGCCTTGAGCAGTAGTCATTTTGACAATATGTCTTCCAATCCAGAAACATGGTATCTTTCCATCTGTTTGTGTTACCTTTGGTTTCTTTCATCGGCATGTATAAAATTTTTGGAGTACACGTCTTTTGCCTCCTTAGGTAGATTTATCCCTAGGTATTTTATTCTTTTTGATGCAATGATAAATAGGATTGTTCCTTTAATTTCATATTCTGGTCTTTTGGTGTTAGTGTATAGGAATGCAACAGATTTCTGTGTATTAATTTTGTATTCTGCAATGTTACTAAATTCACTGATGAGCTCAGATAGTTTTCTGGTAACATCTTTAGGATTTTCTATCTATAGTATCATGTTATCTGCAAACAGTGATAGTTTTAGTTCTTTTCCAATTTGGATTCCTTTTCATTCCTTCTCTTCTGATTACAGTGGCTAGGATTTCCAGAACTGTTGAATAGACTGATGAGAGTGGACATCCTTACCTTGTTCTGATCTTAGAGGAAATGCTTTCAGCTAATCACCATTCAGTGGGATGTTGACTGTAGGTTTGTCATATATGGCTTTTGTTATGTTGAAGTATGTTCCCTGTATGTCCACCTTCTGGAGATTTTCATCATACATGAGTGTGAATTTTGTCAGAAGCTTTTTCTGTATCTATTGAGAGGATCATATAGTATGATGATTTATTTATATCATATGGTATGAGTTTTTACTATAAGAAACATTTATTCCTCAGTTTAATATGTTGTATTATGCTGATTCATTTGCAGATATTAAAAAAATCCTTGCATCTCTGCAGTAAATCCCACTTGATCATGATCTATGATCCCTTTACTGTGTTGTTGGATTTGACTTGCTAGTATTTTTGTTGGAAGATTTTTGGGTCTATGTTCACTAGTGATGTTGGTCTGTGATTTTCTTCTTTTCTGATATCTTTGTCTGATTTTGGTACCAGAGTGATGGCCTCACAGAATGAATATGGGAGTGTTTTTTGTTTCTTGGGAATTTTAAAATCATGGCTTCAATTCCATACTTGTCTGTTCATATTTTCTATTTCTTTCTGGGTCAATCTTGAGAGATTGTACCTTTTTAAGAATTTGTCCATTTATTCTATCTAGGTTGTTCATTTTATTGGCATATAGTTGCTTGTGGTAGTCTCTTACGATCCTTTGTATTCTGTGATGTCCACTGTAGCTTTTCCTTTTTCATTTCTAATTTTATTGATTTCAGTTTATTGATTTAAACTTATTTGATTGAGTTTTTCTTGATGAGTCTGGCTAAAGGTTTGTCAATTTTGTTTATCTTTTCAAAGAACTAGCCATCAAGTTTCACTGATCTTATCTGGTGTTTTCTTTGTCTCTATTTCATTTTTTACTGCTCTGAGCTTTATGATCACTTTGCTTGTACTATGGGTTTTATTTGTTATTCTTTTTCTAGTTGCTTTAGGTATAACCTTAGGTGGTTTATTTGGGATTTATCCTAAGATAAGACTATATTGATATAAACTTTCCATTTAGAACTGGTTTTGCTGCATCTGTTTTGCATTGTCATGCTTTTGTTTTCATTTGTCTCTAGGTATTTTCTGACTTCCTCTTTGATTTTTTCAGTGATCCATTGATTGTTTAGTAGCATACTGTTTGGCCTTCACATATTTTGTTCTTCACAGTTTTAATGGAATGCTCTTTAAATATCAATCAAGTCCCTTTGGTCTAATGTGTCATTTAAGGCCTGTGTTTCCCTATTTTCTTTCTGAGTGATCCCTGCATTGATGAAGTGTGTCACTGTCGATTTCTCCTTTAATGGCTATTAGTATTTGCCTTATATATTGAAGCTCTCCTACATTGGGTGCACATATATTTGTGCATAATAAATGTATCACCATTGCTATATCTTCTTGGACTGACCCCTTGATGCCTATGTAGTATCCATCTTTGTCTCTTGTAACAGTCTTTACAGTCCATTTTGTCTGATGTATGTATTGCTACTCCAGCTTCCTTTTGATCTCCACTTGCATGGAGTACCTTTTTCCACCCCCTCACTTTCAGTCTGTGTGTGTCCCTAGGTCTGAAGTGTGTCTCCTGTAGACAGCACATATATAGGTCTTGTTTTTGTAAGCATTTAGCCAGTCTGTGTTTCTTGGTTGGGGCATTTAATCCAGTTACATTGAAGATAATTATCAATGTATATGTTCTTTTTTTGCTATTTTATTAATTGTTCTGGAATTGTTTCTGTAGGTGTTTTTTTCTTTCCTTTCTCTTTTCTTCTCTCCTCTTGTGGTTTGATGACTTAATTTTAGCGTTGTATCTTGGCTGCTTTTTTCTGTGTGCATCTACTGTAGATTTTCCGTTTGTGATCACCATGAGGTTTGGATACAGCAGTCTATATATAAACAAGCTTGTTTTAAGTTGCTTGCCTTTTCATTTCAAGTACATCTCCAGTGTCCTGCATTTGTGCTCTCCTAGCCTCACAATCACTGGTTGTGACATCATATTTGAGGGTGAATAATTCCTACCCTTACTGCATGTTTGCCTTTAATGGTGAGCTTTGCGATTTGTAATTTGCTTGTTTCTAGTTGTGGCTCTTTCTTTTTTGCCTAGAGAAGTTTCTTTAGCATTTGTTGCAAAGCTGGTTTGGTGGTGCAGAATTCTCCAGCTTTTGCTTGTCTGTAAAACTTTTGATTTCTTAATTGCATCTGAAAGAGAACCTTGCTTGTAGACTCCTGCTTGTAGATTATTGGTTGTAGAATCTTCCCTTTCATCACTTTAAATATATTATACCACTTCCTAAGAGTTTCTGCTGAAAAATCAGCTTTATAACCTTATGGGAGTTCCTTTGTATGCTCTTTGTTGATTTTTCCTTGTTGCTGTTAATATTTTCTTTGTCTTTAATTTTTGTCAATTTGATTATTGTGACTATTGAGTATTCCTCCTTGTGTTTATCCTACCTGGGACTCTCTGAGCTTTCTGGACATGGGGACTGTTTCCTTTCCCATGTTGGAATTTTTCAGCTGCTATCTCTTCAAATATTTTCTCAGGTCCTTTCTCTCTCTTCTTGTGGGGCCCTATGATGAAAATGTTGGTGCATTTAATGTTGCTCCTGAGGTCTCTCAAACTCTCTTCATTTCTTTTCATTCTCTTTTCTTTATATTCTGTTCTATGGCAGTGATTTCCACAATTCTGTATTCCAACTCATTTATCCATTCTTCTGCCTCATTATTGTATTCATTTGAGTGTATTTTTCATTTCAGTTATTTTATTGTTCATCTATGCTTGTTTGTTCTTTAGATCTTCTAGCTCTTTTTTAAGCATTTCTTGCATCTTTTCTATCTCTGCCTGCATTGTTTCTCTGAGATCTTGGATAATCTTTACTGTTATTACTCTGAATTCTTTCTAGGGTAGATTGCCTACCTCCATTTCACTTAGCTGGTCACCTGGGGTTTTAGCTTGTTTATTCATCTCAGACATACTCTTCTGCCATCTCGTTTTGGTCTACCTTTCTGACTGCAGTTTGTGTTGCGCGGGCTGCAGGGCTGTAGGCCTTCTTGCTTCTGTGGTCTGCCCCCTGGTGGATAAGGCTGGTATGAGACGCTCGTGCTGGCGTCCTGGTGGGCAGGACTGGTTTCTTCCCACCCGTGCATGAAACTGGTTCTTGTCCCCCTGGTGGGCAGAGCCGTGTCAAGGGGTGTGTTTATTGGGCAGTCACAGGCTCAGGAAGTTTTTAGGCAGCTTATCTGCTAATGGGTGAGGCTGTGTCCCCACCATTTTGGTTGGTTAGCCTGTGACATCTCAGAATTGGAGCCTATAGGCTGCTGTGTGGGGCCAGGTCATGGTGAAAAAAATGATGGCCTTTAGGAGGGCTCACAGCAGTGAGAACTCCCCAGAACTACTGCCACCAGTGTCTTTGTCCCCTAAGTCACAGCTGCCCCCCAACCTTGCAAGAGACCCTCTAATACCAGCAGGCTCTCATGAGTTCACTGCCTTTTCCCCTGGGTCTTGGTGTGCACAGGACTCTACGAGTGCCCTCTAAGAGTGGAGCTTCTGTTTTCCCCAGTTCTGCAATCAAACCCTGCTGACCTTGAAAGTCAGATGTTCTGGAGGCTTCTCCTCCCATTGACAGACCCCCAGGCTGGGGAGCCTGATGCGAGGCTCAGAACTTTCATTCCTTTCATTCCTGTGGCAGAACCTCTGCAATATAATTACTTTCCAATGTGTGGGTTTCCCACCCAGCAGGTATTGGATTTGATTTTATCGCAGCTGCATCCCTCTTACTGTCTTTTTATGGGTTCTTTGTCTTTGGACCTACGATATCTTTTTCGGTAGTCGTTGATGGATTTTAGCAGTTAGTTGTGATTTTGGTGTTTTTGTGAGAAGCGGGGAAGCTCACTAGCTTCTACTCTGCCATCTCCTGAGAGTCTCTGCACCCTTACCATTTTGAATAATGCCTGCCACACAGAAGGTACTCAAAGAATACAGGTTAGGTGAAAGAAATAATGAATAGTTACATCTTCAGAGAAAAAGGGTAAAGAAGTTATCTCAGACTTTAAGGCATGGAGGCATGTGAGGCACACATGCTATAGCATTTAACAGCTTTGGGATTCCATTAACAGACTCAGAAAGTCCACCACTGGAAACATTCTGCAGTGAGGTGATCACTGAATGTTCCCAAAGTGTGTGACTTTCTTGCCAGGTGCTTTCAGAAAGGCTTCAAGTCAGAGGCCATTATACACAGAGTAGGACTGACTACCCCTTCCACAATAATAATGGTAATCCTAGCTGCCACAGACTGACTAAGCTATCAATCCTCTAGTAGGACAGTTAGGGCCTGTGGGCCAGAGTCAGACAACAGGGCTTTTGATTTCTGTCTCCACTATCCTACCGCTTGAAGCCTAGGTTTACCCACCTGTAAAATGGGGCTAGTAACAGCACACCCTTCAAAGAACCCTTGGTAAATGGTATGAATTGTCCCACAATGCTATTGCTTATGTAATGGTAGCTGTCGTTTCTTGGTTGCCTTCTTCATCTGGACCAAACCTACTTCCACCAGAAAGCCTTTCATTTTTGCCCACCTTATTCACTTATGACAATGCATTTCTTGAGCTCCGAGGTGGACTCTGGTTAGGTACGGGAGCTGGACCAGCTGGCTTCCAGAGGGTGCTCTTACTGCGTCTGCTCGTCCTCACCTAAGAGGAGCGCGGCCTCTCCAGTGTCACGCCTTCTCTTGCTCATGTTCCCTCTGTGCCGCTTGCACAGAGAAGACACTTCTGAGGCTTGCTGCTCCTGCAAGCGCTCATCTAACCCTCTGCCTGACCCTGATGTCTCCCTATCTTTAGCCGACCTGGGCACTCAGTCTGGTGCCCTGCCTCGCCTGCAGAAAAGTCTCCTTCAGTGCTCCAGGTCTGACAAGCAGCACCAGCCACAGCCCAGCGCTGAGTCCTGTGGTGAGCGCAGGAAAAGCAGGCAGCGCCTGGGCACCCAGGCCAGAAGTTTGGGCTCAGCCTGAGAACAGAACGGAGTCCTGTCCTCCAGGCAGGGAAGCTGGGGTTTCACAGTCTCCCCTGCAAGAGAGCCCCTTGACGCCTAGGCTCCTGCTTCATTCAGTCAGGGGTCCAGCTCCTCAGAGTAACTGGGAGGGAATATCAGTGGATCTATTTTGTGAAATAAAATACCAATCTATAACTCACCACACTGAAGTAAGCATTTTCCACATTTCCGTTTCTGAAATGAGACTGTCCATGAGAAAAAATAGTAATTTCTTATGTTGTATTTCAAGTTATACAAAGAAGTTTAAGCTTCAGGAACACCTTTTATATCCTTCCCTCTGTATAAACTAAAGCCTAAGATCCACTAGAGTGGTATTACCTATTTTATGTGTAAAGAAAGAAATGTGTCTGAAAGTGCAAATTTTTAAAAAGGAGAGGGGGAAAAAAGCCTGTTTCATCAGTGGACAGTAAGCTTTTTTACGGAAATCTGTGTTTGTACAACAGGGAAGCGGCAACACATCCTAACTCCCCTTAGAAGGTCCTAACTTTAAAGTACCTTCTAAGAATCTCTTTAAATATAAAAGTCTCTGAAATTAAGATTAGGCTGAAAATCTGCCTTTACAGTTTTTGAGACACACATACATGCAAAAAAAAAAAAAAGAAAATAATAATACTTTTAAAAGTAGGCAAAAGAAAGGGGTTACTAACACATGAGTTCACACTTAGACAAGAGAAGGGCTGTCTGCTGGACCAAAGTGAGGATAGACAAATTACTTTGATTTTTGCAGCCTGATGGGAGAAACAGTACTGTGGGCTTAAGATCAAACAAAATGAGAACTGGGATGCCTCTTTTCTGGTTCCCCAAAGCCGCCTGTTCTTATCCTAAAGGTTATGAGGCTTACTGAACAAATAGGACCCTGTTCCTTCCTTGGGAAATCTTGTTTATACTATGTCCATTTTTAGATCTTGTAAAAGCTGGTGAAGTTGGTTCTTCCCCACTAGCCAGAATTCTTCCACACTCAGCAAATATCAACAGGAAAGGCCTTCAGTCATTGATAACTATGGAAGCAGGGAGCTCAGATCAGGCCTTGAGAAGCTGGTGCCACTAACAGAGGGGACGCAGAGACAGTCTCCAGCCTATGTTTAGAGAATGATGGGCCTTTGTGAAGGGATAAAAGAGACACCAAAATCTAGGTGAGTTTATTCTGACAGTGCCAGCAGCACTGTCTCCTCTTACACAGTTCACACTGGTCCGGTCTAAGGATTCATTTTGGAACTGTCAAAGCTTCAAGCAGAAAATGATTCTGTGACTGAAACTTGGTTAAACAAATTTCACTGTGCAAGGGAAAATTCAGTTACTTTTGGAAATACTGTGGGGGAAGACATCGCATGCAGAAAACCGGAAAATAACCTGGTTAGCCAGACAGGAAGTGCTATGTCCTGTGAAGAGACCCAGGGGTATGGGTGATGGGACAGCAAGGCTCCCAGCCTAGCCCGTCCTGGAGAGTCAGCTAAAGCAGTTCTCAGCAGGAGGAATGACCAGAGCCAGCAATGGTGACAACCTAACCCACCTGGAGCAAAACACTGGAGCGTCTGGCCCAGTGACCAAAGCTGACCTACGTGACAAAACAAATACTGACAGTATTAAATATCCATGGAGTAAAATGCCCACAGCCACAACCCCATACTCATGCAAACACAGAGTAAAATGAGTAAATAACAGGGGCTGGTGAGAGAAAGGACAGATATTTCCCGGGCATCTATGAATAAACGTAGAAGGGATAATAAAAATAGAAAATCACCATTAAGCAAACATTACAGTAATAATCATTGTCTGTAAGAACTATTAATTGACCCTAAAAATCAGCAGGTAAAATTATTATTAAAAAACAGGTCTAGTCTCCTTATTAAACAGGTGTTTAGGAGAAACAGGTCAAAGTGGCTTCCCACAAGATGTGTATTCATTACAAATGGAAAAGGTAGTATCTTCACAGGGAGAAGGCTGGAGCCACCCTCACCATGTGATAAGACTGGACAGCGCACTGGCGTGCCAGTCGCACGCAACACCGAGGGCACATCATTTCTGTGGTATTCCTGCCTGGAAATGCACAATCCCAATGTAACCACGAGAAGACATCAGAGAAATCCACAGTGAGAGGCTGTTTATAAAATAGCTGGTCTGAATTCTTGCCAAGGTCATGAAAGAAACAGACTGAGTGACCATCACACGTTGAAGGAGACGAGGTGGCCTGGACCCTAAGGTAATGTGGAATCCTGGAGTGACTCCTGCTCCCCAGTTCTGGGGACTTGGAAATACAAGTCAGTCCTAGAGATTAATTAAGTATGTGGTACCGATGTCAGCGTCCCGTCTTTCACAGCTGTGCTTGGTTTAGGTAAGATGTTAACGGAGGGGAAGCCGGGTGAGGAGCATGTGGGCACTCCCTGAACTGCTCACGCAATGATTCTGTCAGTCTAAAACTATAATGAAACAAAGCGTTAAACATAAAATTAGAGTGAGCTTGACTTGACTTAGCATCCAGCCAGGCCCAGGTTAGGATATATAAACTAAGGTGAGACCTCCCATCCTGACGGTAACCACTGAGAGGAGGCTCAGAAAAGGATGGGGTGATGTAGACATCAGCCATTCCCATCTCTAGGAAGATACGGGGCCAGCGCTCTCTAAATATGACATCCCCGGTACCGCTGAAGGATGCTGCATTCCTCAATAACCTGTCTTCTCTAGATTTTTCAAAACCTAAACAAACCCGTCAAACCCTTCTGCTTGTTTTGTCCAGCAAAGGAAAGTTATGTCCATAAAAGTAAGTTTTGAGTCAAATCTATTTTCTGGACCTCATAATTCTGAAAAACCTTAAAATACCAAAAAAAAAAAAAACCTGGTTAGCCAGACAGGAAGTGCTATGTCCTGTGAAGGGACCCAGGGGTATGGGTGATGGGACAGCAAGGCTCCCAGCCTAGCCCGTCCTGGAGAGTCAGCTAAAGCAGTTCTCAGCAGGAGGAATGACCAGAGCCAGCAATGGTGACAACCTAACCCACCTGGAGCAAAACACTGGAGCGTCTGGCCCAGTGACCAAAGCTGACCTACGTGACAAAACAAATACTGACAGTATTAAATATCCATGGAGTAAAATGCCCACAGCCACAACCCCATACTCATGCAAACACAGAGTAAAATGAGTAAATAACAGGGGCTGGTGAGAGAAAGGACAGATATTTCCCGGGCATCTATGAATAAACGTAGAAGGGATAATAAAAATAGAAAATCACCATTAAGCAAACATTACAGTAATAATCATTGTCTGTAAGAACTATTAATTGACCCTAAAAATCAGCAGGTAAAATTATTATTAAAAAACAGGTCTAGTCTCCTTATTAAACAGGTGTTTAGGAGAAACAGGTCAAAGTAGCTTCCCACAAGATGTGTATTCATTACAAATGGAAAAGGTAGTATCTTCACAGGGAGAAGGCTGGAGCCACCCTCACCATGTGATAAGACTGGACAGCGCACTGGCGTGCCAGTCGCACGCAACACCGAGGGCACATCATTTCTGTGGTATTCCTGCCTGGAAATGCACAATCCCAATGTAACCACGAGAAGACATCAGAGAAATCCACAGTGAGAGGCTGTTTATAAAATAGCTGGTCTGAATTCTTGCCAAGGTCATGAAAGAAACAGACTGAGTGACCATCACACGTTGAAGGAGACGAGGTGGCCTGGACCCTAAGGTAATGTGGAATCCTGGAGTGACTCCTGCTCCCCAGTTCTGGGGACTTGGAAATACAAGTCAGTCCTAGAGATTAATTAAGTATGTGGTACCGATGTCAGCGTCCCGTCTTTCACAGCTGTGCTTGGTTTAGGTAAGATGTTAACGGAGGGGAAGCCGGGTGAGGAGCATGTGGGCACTCCCTGAACTGCTCACGCAATGATTCTGTCAGTCTAAAACTATAATGAAACAAAGCGTTAAACATAAAATTAGAGTGAGCTTGACTTGACTTAGCATCCAGCCAGGCCCAGGTTAGGATATATAAACTAAGGTGAGACCTCCCATCCTGACGGTAACCACTGAGAGGAGGCTCAGAAAAGGATGGGGTGATGTAGACATCAGCCATTCCCATCTCTAGGAAGATACGGGGACAGCGCTCTCTAAATATGACATCCCCGGTACCGCTGAAGGATGCTGCATTCCTCAATAACCTGTCTTCTCTAGATTTTTCAAAACCTAAACAAACCCGTCAAACCCTTCTGCTTGTTTTGTCCAGCAAAGGAAAGTTATGTCCATAAAAGTAAGTTTTGAGTCAAATCTATTTTCTGGACCTCATAATTCTGAAAAACCTTAAAATACCAAAAAAAAAAAAGAAAAAAATCAGATAATTTTCTAAATCATGGTTCTTGTTTGATAAGCAGAAATGAATTCTTATAAATATTATTAGTGTTCCTCTCTTGCCAGATTTGTAGATACCAGTGGAGAGATGGGTCTGGGGAAAAGTAATTATATACTTCAGGAAAGGAGATAAAATGCTTTATGCTCCAAACCTGGCTTTCAGCTACAGAACCAAGGCTTTTTAGCACAATTAGTGATTCCACATCATGCTGGAGTATCTGTGTCCTACCAGATCTCAAACAGCTCTTCTGCATCCCTGCACTCGTGCTGAAGCAATGAGCACATCGTCTGAAGGTGCCCAGGATGGTGGTCCACGCCTACCTCCCACTGCGTTGCAGCGAGACGTCATCTCCCAGAGCACCAGGGCCATGGAGTAGACATCCGTCTGCTTGAAGGACTCGACATTCTCCAGATTCATCCTGGACTCGAGGACCTCTGGAGCCATGTACCTCGCCGTTCCCACCTGAGGAAGAACACACACAGCCCGCAACCCAACCCCCCCGCAAGGCCGCCTTCAAAAAAAACCCACGCTTGGCCCCTACTGAGTAGTCAGTGCATCTTTAAAAAGCATGGTGCTGTTTAAGATAATGAGACCTGCACAGAAAGGTAGAGCTTATGTAATTTTTTGAAAAACAGGTTGTGTCTCCCTGAAAAACCTTGAAAGAACATAAAGGACAAATGCCAAAATAAGGAAATGGCAAAGCCCAGAGCTGCTGTGTCTAGGCTCAGGACACAAGACCATCAAACCACGTGTGCAGTGACGTCCTTGCAGAGAACCTGAGACCACACTGGTGACTGATACTGTCAGTGCTTTCCCAAATTAAGTATCTTTTCATTCTTGAAACTCCAAGACATGAGGTGAAAGTAATAATTGCCTTGATTCTTTTTGTCCCCTGAGGGTTGCATTAATCTTCTTTGTTCACCCCACGGCACGTTCTAGGTGCAGAGGATGTCATACAATTACATAAAAGCTCTGCTAAGTGGAACTGTATGAAAGCATTTCCATTACAAGCTCAAACCTGGTCATTTTATCATTTTGATAGGCATGCTGTGTGATTTTTATCTGACAGTATGAAAACACTGTGATACATAGGAAAAAAGAAAAAAATATTTCTAAGGAAAAAAATCATTTGAGTGAGCGATATGCAGCTTGTATAGACTGACTAAATAACAGCAAAGTCCTACCTTCCCAAGGATCCAGGGGTATGTCAAGTTAGTTGATAATATTACCCCCAAATAATGCTTTTTATTGTCATGCATTAGAAGAAAATTTTCTTTTTAATAAGTCCCTTCACGACTGGTCACCCTGGCACATTGATTCATCCGAGTTCAGCGTGCTGAGCTCCTCACTGGATGTGCATGCCTACATCTGGAGGGCTGCCTGCGCAGTGACGAGATGCTCCAAAAGCACAACGCTCAGCCTGGTCAGAGGAGGCAACGGTGCTCCCAAGACTTTACTCCCAGTCACAGCCAAGCCTCTGGTGTGTGAAGCATGGGGCCCATCTTTTACAAAGGATGACAGTAATGCTGTGTGTGCGCGTGCTAAAGTCGCTCCAGCTGTTTCTGCCTCTTGCAACCCCAGGGACTGAAGCCCCCCAGGCTCCTCCATCCATGGGATTCTCCAGGCAAGACTACTGGAGTGGGTTACCATTTCCTCCTCCAGGGGATCTTCCCGACCCAGGGACTGAACCCAAGTCTCTTACGTCTCCTGCACTGACAGGTGGGTTCTTTACCACTAGCGCCACCTGGGAAGCCCAACTGAATGTTAGTCAGTTTCTAATAGCTCCTTAGCCAAAAGAGTTTCCGTTTTAATCTGTGAGGTGTTTCAGAACAAGAACCCTCCCTTCACCCAGTCCATCACTCACTCTATAGATACTTATAGGTCTCTTTGCCTGTTCAAGGCCTTGTGTTGGATGTGACCAAATGTATGTGGATTTGGACTTCAAGGAGACTGCCTTCTAAAATGGTAAAAAAAAAAAAAAGAAAAAGAAAAAAAAGAAGCAATATAAGGACTAAAACTACAGAGCAGAAAGAGGCTGAGTACAACCCTAAGGAAAAAGAGATACTAGCAGTGCTTGAAGCAAAGAAAAAACTGTCTAACTGGACGAGAAATGAGGATTGACTCAAGGAGAGAGTGGCTGTCCTGGATTGGGAAGGGTCTGAGCGCCAGGGAGAGAAGGGCTGTTGGCTGGCGGAGGCGCCCTGGCAGGAGAGCAGGCACTTCCCGGGCTGCGTGGATCCCCTGGATGAGGTCGGAGTGCAGGGCGGACGGAGCACGAGCGGGAGGGGCGCCAGCAGCGAGGGGCAGGGCCACCCTACCTGCCCGCTGTTGGCCAGGTCGTCCACAGACAGCGTGGGGTCCAGCCGCAGGGAGAGCCCGAAGTCGCAGAGGCAGCAGGTGAGGTCGCCCTTGACCAGGATGTTGGAGCTCTTGAGGTCCCGGTGCACGATGGGCATCTTGGGCCGGCCGCACAGGGTGTGGTCGCTGTGCAGGTGCGCGATGCCGCGGGCCAGCGAGCCGCCCAGCCGGCGCAGGTCCTCCCAGCTGATGACATGGCGCGTCAGGTACTCCTGCAGGTTGCCCTTGGCGTGGAAGGCCGTGATGAGCCAGTACTGCTTGCCCAGCTCCGTCTTGCGCTCCTCGGCCGTCAGGAACTGCAGGATATTCTCATGCTTGAGGTTGATGTCCGAGAAGATGTCCTTCTCCGTCTTCCAGGAGGCATACTCCTCATAGGGGAAGATCTTGACGGCCACCGTCTCGAACTGCTCCGACGTGTTCTGCCTCAGCTTGGCCTTGTAGACCTCGGCGAAGCGCCCCTTGCCCACCAGGGTGTCCAGCTCGATGGGCAGCAGCTCCGTGTTGTGGTTGATGTTGTTGGCGCAGGTGGAGCTGATGTCGGAGCGGTCGTCCTCCAGGATGATGGCCAGGTGCTCGCTGAACTCCATCAGCTTGCGCGGCTTGCCCGAGTCCCAGGCCGGGCTCAGCTTTTGCTGCCGGTGCACGCGGTAGCAGTAGAAAGTGACGATGACTGCGATGGCGATGCCCAGCGGTGGCAGGAGGCTGACGCCCGTCACTTGGAAGATGACCAGCAGCAAGTCGGGGTTACTGCTGGTGTACTCTGAAGGGGAGACAAAGAGAAGGAGCAGGTCAGCAGGTGTGCCCTGCGAAGAAGCGGTCCACACCCCAGGCACTGTGGGTTTTCCCATCAGCACAGTTTTTATGGACACGGAATGGTAAGTTTTTATTCCAGGCATGGATGCTTGGGTGTGCTTGTCCATCTGGCCATCTAGTCAATGTCTTTTACTCTTCCCTCAAAACTTAGCTTGGAAATCAAAATTCACCATCAACCAATCAGAGAATTGAGAACAAGCCGATTACAAACTGAGAACAAGGCCCTCCTCACGGGCCGTTAAAAATGCTTTGCTGACACTATTCACAATAGCCAGGATATACAAATAACCTAAATGTCCATCAACAGATGAATGGATAAAGATGTACATATACCATGGACTATTACTCAGCCATAAGAAAGAATGAAAAAATGCCACTGTCAGATACACGGATGGACCTAGAGATTACCATACTAAGCGAAGACAAATATCATATAATATCACTTATATGTGAAATCTACAATACAGCACATATGAACCTATCTACAAAACAGAAGCAGACTCACAGACACAGACACAGACACAGGCTGATGGTCGCCGAGAAGGGGTGGGAGAGGGACGCAGCACGGGTCTGGGCTAAGCAGATGCAAACGGTCACACACGGGATGGATAAACAAACTCCTCCTGTCGCACGGGAACTGTGCTCAATATCCTGGTCAAACCATAATGGAAAATAGTAGGAAAAAGAATACACACACGTATATATGTATATATAACGGAGTCAGTTTGCTATACGGAATTAACATTGCAAATCAACTATACTTCAATAAAATTTTAAAAAACAGGAAGAAGGAAAACTTTGGTGATTGACTCTTGAAAACCTAAGTTCTTACTCACACTGGCAGGCTGCATGGAACGCAGGCTAGGTGGGGCTAGAGGCTGAAGTGTGATGGGACAGAACGGTTGCGGGAAAAGACTGAACTACAGGAGAAACAGAAACTCTGGTGGAGATATGGATGGTCCCTATTACCCGGCAGAGAATGAGCCTCGAGATTAAGACTGAGGGGACATATAAAATGATACTGACACAGAATCAGCATCAGATACCGCAGCAGATGCTGCAGAAAATAACATTCCTCTCCTGTAACTCCACCTTTACCATCTGGACTATTCAATGGGAATGTTTTCAAGTGGACACCTGTTTGTAACAATGTAAGATGTCTTATAAATAAATGTGTTTGATTCTCTGCTTGTTCCTCCCATGAAAAAATAAACTCTACAGGGGTAAATCTAGGGGTACTGATCACCACTCTACTAAGCAGCTGGCGCAGGGCACTTAGATGCTCAGCAAATGTTTCCTGTAGAAACTGGATGAATGATTAATGAGGCAACATCCCTCCCTTCTTGGATAAAGAGGATGTGGTACATATAGACAACAGAATACTACTCAGCCATAAAGAAGAACAAAATTCCATTTTTGCAGCAACATGGATGAAGCTAGAGATTATCACACTAAGTCAAGTCACAGAAAGACAAATACCATGTTATCACTTACATATGGAATTTAAAATATGACATAAATGAACTTATCTATGAAGCAAACAGAATCACAGACATAACAAACAGACTTCTGTTTGCCTATGGGAGGGCGTTGGAGGAGAGAGAGATTGGGAGTTTGGGGTTAGCAGATGCAAACTAGTATGTATATGATGGATAAATAACAAAGTCCTACTATTTAGCACAGGAAACTATATTCAATATCCTATGATAAACCATAATGGAAAAGAATATGAAAAAGGGAATGTATATATGTGTATATATATATATTCCTTTATATATGCATATTGGAATGTACATATATATGTGTATAACTGAGTTAATTTGCTGCACGGCAGAAATTAGCACCACATTGTAAACCAACTAGGCTTCAGTTTTAAAAACTCCCTCCCATTCTCCACGCTGTTCACAGGGGTCAGCAAACTATGGCCCCAGGGCACAGGGGCTGCTCTTGTTCAGCCTCAAGAGGGACGGATTTTCCATTTTTGAAGGGCTGTTTAAATTTAAAAAAAAAAAAAAGACACTAAGTAGTTCATACATCAGAGATCACATCTGGCCCTAAAACATGTTACTACCTGGCCCTTTACAGAAAAAGTCTGCTCACTCCCCTTCTCCTGGTGCTATTTTAACAACCTGCAATGCACTGGTGAAATCTGAAGAGACATCACGTTGCTCCAATGTGAATATTCTTTTATGTTTGAGAAAACAACTCAATGAAAAAGTTCTAAATATTAATTGCATAATTATTTAGCTGTGTGTCCAATTCATTAAAGGGGGTAAAACATCCAAATGAACTGTTCATGTATCACTGATAATTTTTCAATTCCTGTCCATTTATGAAAAACAGTATTCCTTGCTGATTTCTAGTCTTTTTCAGGTTAAAGGAAACACAGAAACAGAAATCTGAAATTTACTGATTAAAGAAGACTCTAGAAATCCCCCTTTCAATATCAGAAACCAAACTGTTACCTTCCCCTCAAATTTCCTGTGATTTCTTTTTGAAAACCTACACATAAAAATTTGGTGGGGAGGGAATTATCTATTAACATCTGTCAGTCTTGAAACTTCAAAGAGGTGGTGAAAAACCCTAACAATAGCAAATCAGGCTGAAAGGAAGCTCTGGGATGTGGCTTTATCTAAACAGAAGCCACCCACACCCTCTCAGAGTTAACCCCTGAGTTGCTCCTAGGAAAACCAGCAGCTGAGGGTATAGCAGGTACAAGTTAGCTTCTCCTTTACTCAGGGACCAGCAGGAAGTATTTCTTCCTGCCAACCCCCAATTACACATAGAAGAGTAAACTGAACACAAATTATATACTTCTCTGTGTGCCCAGAGTTTTATATAATATTTATGTTTAATTGACAGAAAACCCTATGAGAGAGATACTGCTATTATTATAAACCCCATTCTGTACATTCTCAAACTCTGATTAGAGACGCCTGCTCTTAGCCCCATGCCACACTGTTTCTAAACTTCACATCACTGGGAGCCAATTAAGAATGCCTTTATACAAGCTCTCAATTTGAGGAAGTGGTTGTCTTCACTTGGGGCTGGCCTGAGTGACTTCAGGCGTCCACTCAGTGATCCCGGGGCGTCCAAAGGGGCACATTTGGGTGTGCAGATTGCTCCCCTCGGTTCTTAACGAAGAATCAGAGTGGAGCAGTGTTCCTGCAACTGTGCATCTCTCTCCTGTCTGGGAATCAGAAGTCTTATACAGGAAGAACTGTAAGCCTTTTTGCTTTCTTCTTTCAGAACCCATCATCACAGGACACAGCATGTAGGGAACTCAAGACATAATTGCTGAACTGCTGGTACTGAGGGAGGAGGCAGATGGGCCCCCCACCAGGATAAAGCAACTGGAAATTCATTCTCTATTGACTAAAACTCCAAGACAAGAATAGCAGGACAATTAAGGGAGAAGGCTGGGCGCTGCTCAGACCACATACTTCTCATTCCGGAAGTCAGGGTACCTCCCCGACCACACATGCACAGAAACGCTCCCTGCAGGTCAAAGAGGGAGCAGTGTCATGGGATGCGCTACCCAGAGGCCTCTTTGGCAGGATCCATCTTGGCCAAGAGATGTTTGCGCACACTTGGGAGGATCCTGAGATATACAAAATATGGACTGTGAACCTAGCAAATCAAAATGACTGGGCAAAGGAAAACTGGAAAAAATGCCCCATATAAGTGATTTAAACTGCCTTGAGGAAGCGACTCAGGGACTCTCCCTCTGAGTCTGCCTGTGTGTCTATCCATACACACTGTACTCTTTTTCCTGCTAATAAAACACTTTACTTGCTTCACTACATTCAACTTTGTGGAAGTTCTTTTCTGCAGAGCAGTACGGTTTAATTATATGACTCTATGTTGGATTTTCTCTGAATCCCTGTGTGTGCTGTTTTAGGCATTTAAAGACCTCACTGTGAAGAGATCCGCAGGCTGCGCTAGGCGCCCCAGTGTGCACAGCACACACAGCACCAGAGAGCTCTGGCAGAGTGAAGGCGGCGAGTGCTGGTCTTTCTGCCCGGGTTTCCTGGAGCAGAAACTTCCAGACGCCTCTGTTTCTGCAGGAACTGAGTAAGGGAGGAAATGGTGCCAACAAGCGATCCTGACCCTCCTGGGGGTGGTGTGTTGTATGCCCCACGGACAAGGGTAGATTCTGCCCTTGTGAGGGGAGCTCTGAAGTGGAAAAGGATGGGAAACCCTCCTCTGAACTAAGTCTATGAAGAACCATGGAGATAACCAGCACATCATGGGTTTTACTGAGCTGAGTCCTGGGTCCCTCACTGTTTCAGCAGCATCCAGCAGCCAAGTCAGGTTCTGTTCACTGCCCAGTTCACAGAAGAGGCTACGAGAGGGAAGGGGAGGGAAGGTGGAAAGGAGGAAAGGGAGAGAGCGCGTGGGGGTGGGCAGGGCAGGAACTGAGGGGACCCGTTTCCTACAGGTCTGACGGCTCCGGAGCCCGTGTTCCCGCCACACCACCAAGCTGTCTCCCCAGCAGTGGACCCAACAGGCTGTTTAATAATTCCCAAAATTTCCAACCAAATATGTCCCACATACAGGAGCCCAAGTGAGCTGCAAATAAAGAGCCATTTGCAAATGTCAGAATCTTGATAAATATTTTTTAAGGACAAACATCAAAGATAAATGTTAGTATGCCATAAAAACATATAAACTGGCAGAAAACCTCAAGGGGAAATTCCTTGATATAGGTTCCTCCTGAGTAATTTAAAAGTAAACTTGCCTAATCCCACACACACACACCACAATGAAAAGAGGTCATTCCCAAGCTCTTTCAAGTCCTCTGTGAGGCCCAAATCCATCACTGCTTTGCCAAAAGGAACTTAACACTGAATCTCTATAATTTTTTTTTCTTCAAAAAAGTCACATAGTGAAAAAGACATTAAATTAAGGTCAAGAGTAAAATGCACATATGGACTGCTTAATGCA